GAAATAGAGTGGTGTGTGGCGTTGATATTGATTTGTTTTGTTTTTTGTGTTAAAACATACAACACGAAATGTACTCACTTGGCTAGTTCGGCGTGCTTCTTCAGGCTGTACCCAACGTCTTGTCGCAACTGTTCCCGGCTCGTGAACCCATGCACCCATACCATGAGATGACCGTGAAGCATTAGACGATGCTGCTCTTCGGTCATGCCGATATAAGCTTTGATGTTGCCTAGCGCCCCACCATCGCCATCGTTAGCCTGAAACCTCAGAATATATTTCAGCACCGCCTCGATAGTTTCGTGAAAAAAAATGGCTGAAGCCACGGGATCGTTCACGATTATATCAAGTCGTTTTCTGAAGTCTGGCATCTGTTCATGGCATGTCGACGATAGGTCGATGTTGTGACCTCCGTAATGCATGACGAAGGGACTGTTCAGGTCTGAAGGATTCACCGTCATCCAGAAGAAAGGCTGTCCGAACAGTATAAACATGGAGTGTGCTGTAGTACGCGCCCTGTGCTTTCCGTGGTCTGTCCACGTCGCGTCTCCCGATACTGCCTGCATCGTCCGAAGAAGAGATCTTATCTCGGGTCTGTTGTTTAAAACCGCGCTGGTTTTTTTCCCTGACTTGAGTTCTTCTGCCATGGCATGTAAATGCTCNTCTGACTTGAGTTCTTCTGTCATGGCATGTGTTGTAAATGCTCTTTGGTGATAGAAGCGATTGCGTCTGCATTTTTTGCAGAATTAGGTTGAACCGACAGCTTGAATCGCACATTTGCAATTGCTTCTCAGCCTATCGCACACGGCACAGGGAGACCTGTGAGCAAAAAATGTGTGATGTACAGCAGTATTGAGCTCGATCTAAACTTGGGGATTATGTCACGTTCTAACCGACCACCCTCCTCGTCAAGGCCGACAAGTCATTATATTGCCTCAGTAGTTCAGTCTTACTACTTTACNTCAGCCTATCGCACACGGCACAGGGAGACCTGTGAGCAAAAAATGTGTGATGTACAGCAGTATTGAGCTCGATCTAAACTTGGGGATTATGTCACGTTCTAACCGACCACCCTCGTCGAGGCCGACAAGTCATTATATTGCCTCAGTAGTTCAGTCTTACTACTTTACTGACACTCACCGCGTGCTACCCGCGAACATGTGGTCACGAAAGTCCTGCAGCCCTTGCAGGAGAGTTTCCGCGCGAAGAGGGGTCATCAAATTTATGCTATCTCTGCACGTTTCTTGGCCTTCTGTTGTCTCAATCGCCGCAGTCGGGATCTCCCTGTTGAACACAATCCACTCCACTTCATCACTGCTAGAACCACCGTGGAAACAATCGTCATCGATAACCATATCGTCCACTCTTTGTCGTTGTTCGTACCTGAACAATAAACGTCCATTCTTCATTGTTGCAATAATTGCCGATGATTGTCTACGAATCTTCTGTAAGTATGCTACTGCACACCAGTGGATTATTTTATACAATCTGTCAAACATCAGCTGGCGCAAAGGACAGAAAAAAAAAGTATAATGAAAAAAAGTTAAGTGGTGGTCATGCATGATGGAACCTCCGTGGTGTACAATGTAGACTAGAGCGGAAAGAACAGCAGCGACCTCGCCTGCGACGCGATCCTGTTCGTGCAGCTTCTCATCAGATTACATGTGGTAGTACTCAGTAAGTACTCAGTATTACACGACAATGAGGACGTCGTCTGGTAAATCGTCTAAGATACCGCACCTCCTCTGCATTTCCCNGCCTGCGACGCGATCCTGTTCGTGCAGCTTCTCATCAGATTACATGTGGTAGTACTGTAAGTAGTATGTACTCAGTATTACACGACAATGAGGACGTCGTCTGGTAAATCGTTTAAGATACCGCACCTCCTCTGCATTTCCCGAACCCGGTTATTTTCCCGAGTCCTCTCTTGACGAGTGCTCCTGATGTAAGCCGATGTTCCACGACGATGTCGTCCTCTGGGTGGTCGTCTAGGATTCATGACGACGCTGATTCCGCTGCTCACCGTGCGTGTGTCCTACTGCTGCTGTATGTTACATGTTGTGGACTATGTACACATACACCTTTGCGTTTCGTGCACGCACGAACCACGAAGTTCACGAACGTGTTATTTTACAAACTCGCCGCCGCACGTCCTCCTCGCACGTAACATCCTGATGACTGTGATGCATGATGGTCACGGATTGCAGACCTCCTCATCGGCGTTAAGTACGCACGAAACACCCTCATGCTTCGCCTGGGTGAGTGTCGTACAGCGTACTTCGTTTACAGGTGCTCTGTATGACCCGGCAGCGATGTACGTTAGTTTCGCAGTCAACAGCAGTGCTGGCGTCGATGAGTACGAACATCGTTTGTGTCCGATTTTTTCACCGTGTCCTATCAAAGTGGCATGTTCGTCGCCTTCGAGTTGATTTTGGGACGAAACGACGGGAGTTGAGCCCGAACGAGGAGGCGTGACAAGGGCGGAGCCGAAATCATAGCTTGCACGTGGTTCGACCCCACAGGACCCAGTTTTGATTTTGATTGAAACTGGTAAAATTGGGAAATTGAGAGCGAGAGCCAAAAAACAAAGCTGGTCAGGACGCCTCTTACCATTTCTTGGGGGAGTAGGGGGCAGGCTCTTCCAAGAAGCGGCGCAAATTGAAGGTCTCGTCAGCAGCGTCACGAGCACATGCGTGTCATCGTCATCGGAAGCTGCAGCTAGGAGCTAGACAAGTTGCTAGATTTCCCCAGATTGGCTATTCCTGCCTCAAACTGTTGCAGGGCGGTTTGGCCTCGGGCGGCGGGCTCTGCTGTAGCTTCTGCTCGCCATTGTAGCTCCACATCGAGAGACTCCCACAGGATGACCAGGCTATTTGCTTGTAGCTGTAGCTACAAGCACGTACGGGCTGGCCCTTACTTCAAGCTACACAGTAAGCTCCACCTCTCAGCAGTAGTCCAGCTGCAGCGCATCGCGCAATCTCGCTCTCAATCAGACGCTTCGCTCTCAATTTCACCAATATGCTGTTCTGGTGTTCCTCGGTGCGACGCTGAAAAACGCTCGTTCTTGTTGTGTCACAAGAATGAGAAAATATGTCTACTTGAACTTTCCTCCTTCCGCTGCCGGCTATGCAGTACATTAGTTGGCCAAGTACAAACTGGTGTACTGTAGTTGTTTTCAACACGTCCCGACTGCTTTACATCTCATTCTAAGCACTGTAAATATGTTCGACGTCAACAAACGGTTGCCAGTCGTCTCGGCGATGCTGACTTTTCGTACCACACCCTTCCTTCCTTTGCAAAAGCCGCGTAGTTTGAGGTATTGCATGCCTGTCCCTTCTTCCCCTCGCTCCTCGACAAGCTTTTGCTTAGACATGGGTTGTAGTGAAGGGGGGGGTCTTTCTGGCGAGCAGGGCTAGACTCACCCTCAAGGGATGACCGAAACCTTCTTGCTGCTGCGCATATCCGCCGCGAGGCATGCGCGTGGTGGTGTAGTTGGGTCGGCACTGATGGGGTCAGGCNTTCCTTTGCAAAAGCCGCGTAGTTTGAGGTATTGCATGCCTGTCCCTTCTTCCCCTCGCTCCTCGACAAGCTTTTGCTTAGACATGGGACGGGGATGGTGAGCTATCGTCCCCTGAATTTTAAGGACGCAACCCCGCTAATTTACGCGTTTTTTCGGGAAAAACCATGGGGTCGACTGTAGCTTTTTATCGAAGGACTAGGGGAGTTCGATATCTTCTTCGCCCTTTTAGGTCGCATCTACTTTTGTGTGCTCATGCAAGGAGCACAACATCCATCCATGTTTTACCTCCAAGTGTACATCGGGTGCGTGCACGTCTTTCTTTCGCTGTCGAGGGGTGCCTTTGAGGTTGCCGGAATAGTGCTACGGCCTTCTTCCAATTCAATACAAAACATAATGATTCGATAGCGAGGTGAATTTTGAGGAGTTTTTTCCGCGCGCGAAGCGCGCGTGCGAAAAAAAAAACGGAACGATAAAGCGGAGTTTTTTTTCGTTTTTTTTCGCAAAAAAACTGTTTTTTGGGTCCTTTTTGTTTCCCCGCCTGGGTTCTGCGCACGTTGAATAACAGCTCTTGAATAACACCGCCTGTCAGCCCGACCCCTGAAATAATTTCTGTTCTCAAATTGATGTCTGTGTGTGTGTGTTTTTTTTTTATTATTAGCATCGACCGCGCTAACCGGCTGACC